CAGCAACATATTCCAATATACTCCAGTAGTCCATAATAGTAGTGGCTTTTCTGTGAGACTGGCAATGTCAGAATGTGTTCACTTGAGCCTTTCACAGTTCGGCATATTAATATGTTTTTACTTTTTACATATCGTTTTTATACTTGTCTGCTGGGTGATGAAGACCAAGATAAAGCAAGATCTATATAACAAGAAATGTATCTATTGTATCTGACAAGAGCAGTCAAATCACCTCAGGATTTATCCTGAAACACTATGCCACAGTTTGTAGATCCTTTGTCATTGTCAACCATGTGGATGAGTCACAGCCATTGCTTGACCAAATTGCTGTCTGTGAAAGACTGAGAGAATGTTTTCTCTCCATGTGTCTCTCCTTATGCATACTCTACATCATCAATCACCTTGCTATGTGGCTCCATAATCTCTTTTATCAGAAAATTTCAGACACAACTGAGTTATATGATGTTACACTACATGTTCTCCTATTTCCTGAGTCCTCACTGACTTTGAAAGGCTAAAGCCAAAATACTGGCTGTTCTTTTAGCCCTTGTTTTTCTCTATGCAATTCCTATTTTGTCAGAATTTATTTTTACTACGAATGAGTGTTAGATTTTGACAAGTCCTTTTTCTGAATTTGTTGAGCTAATCATGTGGTTTTGTCCCTTCTTTATGAATATGCAAGTATTGAATTTTTTGATATGATGAGTGTCTTAGTTACTTTCTCATTGATGAGACAAAATACCTAACAACCAAAGTTAAAAAAGGAGAGTTTATTTGACTTGGAGTTCACAGTGTTTCAGTCCATAATCAGCTGGCTCCAAGGCAATGTGTTGTGACATAGGTGTACAGCTCACAGTGGGCAGAATATAGCATGACAACTAAGAGCAACTGGTTCATGGCAGCCAGAAGATAGCAAAACAAGAGGAGGAGACAAGATTCTTTCTGTCTCTTTTATTGTATTCAGGGTACTAAGACTAAGATAGCTTTTACACTCACACCTTTAATTCCATCATCACACACTGGAGATTCAGCCATCTCTCAAAAACTCTTATGAAACATGAGGCTTTTAGAGAACATGCAGACAGAAACCATCACTCATATGTTGTGCCATCTTTCCATCTCTGGAATGAAGCCAAGTTAATCATGACATATCTCTTTTTATGTATTTAGTACAAGATCTACAGAGTCTCACTAAACAGATTGGACTCCTAGTGATCCTCATGTTCTCAGTCTCCCAAGTGCTGGGATTATTGGCACACACCACCACACCCAGTCTCAATTGCAGTCTCAGTATGCCCCAAGGGCAGTGCTGGCATGCTGGCTGATCAAACTCCTGGCCCTTATCTCTGTCTAGGTTATACCTTTTTGATGACTTGTATTGTTTGGTAATATCTTGTTGGGCTTTATGTGTCTGTATTCATTAAAGAGATTAACCTATACTTTTAATTTTTAGTTGAATGCTTGAAAAGTTTTAGAAACAGGATAATGCTAGCTTCCAGGAATGAGTTTAGAAATACTCCTTCTCTTCCAGTTTTATAGGTGAGTTTGAAGAATGTGTGCATTAAATCTCTTTAGATTTTGTTTACTCCTTCATGTTGTTACACTATGGAGACAATATGATGTTTACACATATGTGTATGATCTATTTCACTTATGAGTATGGTCTCTAGCTGCATCCATAAACCTATTAAAGCATCGAATTTATGTTTTTATTGCTGAGTAATATTCCATTGTATAAAATACCACATGTTTTCCTTCCATTTTTCAGTTGATGGACATTTAGGTTGTTTCCAAGATTTATCTATGACAAATTGTGCTGGTATAAACATGGGTTTTTTGGTATAATGTTTCCAATTCTTCTAGAAAAATATCCAGCAAGGAAATAACTGGGTTGAATCGGACTTCTAATCCAAATTTGTTGCGGAATTTCTACACTGATTTCTACAGAAATCATACCAGTCTACTGTCCCATCAACTGTGGATAATGGTTTCTTTTTCCCTACCTACTCTTCAGCATTTGATATCAGTTAATTTCTTCATGATGGCCATTATTTCTGGTGTGAGATGAAATCTCAGTATTGTTTCCATTTGTATGTCTCAAATGACCAGTGCTACTGACCTGTTGCCCTTGACTTGCTCTTCTTTTTCTAGAAGGTTGAGGTGCAGCAATAAGGCATTTATTTTTTTCTCAGTCAGTGTTTCTAATGTGAGCATTCACTGCTATCTCTTTCCCTTTGACAATTGATTCCATTGTATTCCCCAATTTCCTGTAAGTTATATTTGAATTTTCATTGATTTCAAATATTGTTTAATTTTTTCTTTAATTTCATCAATGATGCATTTGTTGTTGATGAGGTTGTTATTTAATTTCCATGAGTTTACAGGATTTTTGAAGGTTTTTTTGTTGTTAACTTCCAGTTACATTGCATTATTATCAGATACTATCCATGGGATAATGACATTTGTATTGAATTTACCTAACCATGTTATATAGTTTCGTATGTATTCTACTTTAGAGATTGTCCCATGTACAGCTGAATGGAATATGTATTTAGTTGATGTTGAATAGTGCACTCTGTAAGAATCTAGTAAGTCCATTTCTTCAAAGTTTCAGTTGTGGTCTACTCCAGCTTTGCTACCTTTTATTTATATGATGTATCTTTGTGAAGCAAAGGGATATACTAATTTACCTTATTAAGATTGTGCTACTTATTTGCTGGCTCATGCCTCTTTCTTAGTTGGATCCTCACATATTTGATGCACATACATTCATGATTTTTATCTCTTCCACTTGAGCTTTTCTCCTAACAAGTATGTAGTGACCATCTTTATTTTGTTTGATCATTCTTGGACTGAAGTTCACATTTCCTGAAACAGAATAGCTACCCCTACTTTTTTTCTGTGTCCATGGTACATGGAGTATTGTTTTCCAACTTTCAGGCTATAAATTTCATTTTGAGTTAAATGTGTTTTTCTATACAGCACATTGTTGGATTTTGTTTCTTGATCCATGATTCCAGTCTAATTTTTTTAATTGGTGAATTAAGTTCATTTAATTGGTGATTATAACTGATTTGTATTGGTTGGTTCTCCCCTTTTTCCCTCTGCTTAATTGTTAACCTTGTTTGGTTTTTTCTTTCTGTGGTTGTTCTTGGAATTATAGTCATTTTTATGTCTTCCTAGAATATATTTCAGTACTGTTTGGAGGGATGGTTTGGGGGTCATCGATTTCTTCAGCTGTTGTTTGTCATGGAAGTATTTCACTCTTTCATTAATTTTGAAAGATTGTGTCTTAGAGTACATGAATCTTGATTCAAAGTTCAAGTCTTTGAGGACTTGAAATACCTCATGATAATCTCTTCTTGACTTCATGTTTTGTGTTGGGAAATATGCAGTGATTCTGATGGACTTCTCTTTATATTCAATTTTTTAATTTTCTCTAAGAGCTTTTAATATGTTGTTCATGAACTGCATTTTTGGGATCTTAATTTTCTTATTTTAAAGTGCAGGTTTATTTTAGTTAATACTAATTCTAGTTCTATATTCATTCCTTATCTGTACATGAGATTATTTTCCCATTTTGGGAAATTTTCTGTTATTACTTCCTCAAATAGACTTTTTATGTCATTTGCATTGATTCCTTTTTTATTGACACCTACCACTCTTAAGGTGTTCATCTTTGTGGCATCTTGTGGCTGTTGAACTATTTCATTGATTGATTGATTGATTGATCAATGAATAAATTTATTAGTCTTTATCTGAATAATCTTCATAGAAGTTTGGGTTAACTCTCAGCAGCCCATTCTTGAATTCTGAGGAAGCTTGCCTTCTTTTGAACTACCCAATCTTTCTTCTGGGCAAGGGACCATTTGCAATGGCTCCACCTCTTTTTAACTTTTCTCCTTGGTTTGTTTTCACAGACTGCATGTTCTTGTATAGTAGCATGAGATTTCTTGTACATCTCCTCCATCATGTCTGGAGGTACATTATTTATTTTTTCTGTAGTGAGAGAACTGTTTCTTGTAAGCATCTTCATCTTAAATTAGATAATGCATATAATCTGCAACATTCTGACCTATAATGTGCTTCAGAGGTACTTCTGCACTGAACTCCTTGCTTTCAGAATCATAACCAGGGAATCATTTGGTACTGTGAGGGCTAGACATGCCTCTATCCACGGCACCCTTTAGGGCTCCAAAAACTTTATTGTCAGCTGTAGTTCTAGCAAGGCCTGCATCTGAGTAGCGGGTAAGGCACCAGGTTTACCATCAATGCTTTCCATATTTTTTTCATTTCCAGTCACCTCCACCTGACCTTCATAGATCTCATCCATGCCAAACCTACTGAGAAGCCTATGGGCCAGCCGCAGGCCAATACAATACACTGCAGCATAATATGGTAGGCCATCTTTCACATCATATGTTGGTAGTTTATGTGCACATGCCACACACACTATCATATCCCCTTTAAAACGGGCATAAGCAATCAGACAAATGATATTTCTGTTAGTTACATTAACTATCATCCAGTATTTATGTGTGTTATACTTATTATTGTACTGGATTACCAAGCATTTCCTAGCATAGTATTCAGTTTTTCCCTCTCTTCATCTCTTAAACATCACTTCATATCTCTTAAAGTAGGCCTTATTCTTGACAACCTTAACAAAACCCATCCTGTATAATATAGACCCACATTTGTGGCTCTACACAGACCTGCAAGTGTAGCAGCAACATGGGGTGGAGGGGGCTATTGATCATTATTTCCCAGTTCCTTTTTAATGTTAAGAGATCTTTCACTTCTTCATCACTAGCTGCAGTGATGTCTTCTAGGTCTATAAGACTATTTTCAGTTTCATTCAAACAGTTTTGAGAGCTTTTAATGGAATTTTTAATTTTTTAATTTCCTGGATATCTGTTTGAATATATTTCATGCATTCTGTTTCTTTTCTATATTGTCCGTTCAAAGTTTCATCATTTTTCTTTTTTTTTTTTTTTTACAAAAATAAATTTTTATTGAAAGCAGTAGGGTCTGAGCAGGAAGACAATACAAAGAATGTAAACAATGTAAACATCACTACATTCAGTTCAGCCTGATTGAAGGCTGAAAAACAAGTTTAAATGCTCTATGTGCCCTTACTAGCAAGATACATTAATTCTATTTTACACAAACAACACACTCTAATTTTGGTTAGGAAAAACATATTTTATTGAAGTCGATCCCAACACCAAAAACTGGCATCATCACAAACAGCTATAAGAATGCTGCTATCCCTGCTAAAACTGGTTTGCCGAATAGCAGCGCCGCATTTGTGATGAGTCAGCGTTGTACATTTAGCTTTATGAGGATCTTCTACTTCTAAATCCTAAACATAAAGTTTGCCAACCTGATTGCCCAATGCAAGCATCTTCTGCCAGAAATCCATAGAAAACCTCATGTACCAAATGTCACACTGGCTGTAATCAAATCGCCAGAGAATAGTCACATTGGTACATGGTTTAATTTTATCTATATCATCTTCCATTTTGCCAGGTTTCCAGCACACAATGGCATTTTCACAAGACTTTGAAAGTATCAAATCACCTAACCATCATACACAATCAACATAATTCCTATGTATGTCTCTGGTAGAAAAGTCAGGAAAATGAATTTTCTGGGAAATAAATGGCCTATTAGTTTTATTTGGGTTATAGTCGTAAGATTCTTTAATTGCATTCATTATTCTCTTTGAATTGATCCTCCAAAGTTTAAGAGAGTGATCCATACCATAGGACATTATTTTTTCACCCAACAGGTCAGAATCAGCACTTAGAACTTCATCTCTGTGCCCTTCTACACCTCCAAATAGTGCCACCAGAGTGTCCGTTTGGATATTCCACAATTGTAAGGCATGATCTTTACTTACTGACAGGAGAAGATTAAAATCTTTTGGGTGGAATTTCAACTCATTGATAGCATTTCCATGGCCAACGTAGTGCTTTATACACTGTATTGTTATAGGATTAATTATCCTTATTATGACTCTGGATCCAGCTACTGCTAACAAAGGATGACTTGTATTGCTATCGTAGGTCCATGCACAAGTATAAAAGTTTTCATCAGCATCAGCATCCACGTAAGACTGCAATAACTGGATTTCTCCTTGTGAATGACATTCATATAAGGTAACTCTGTTGCTCCCTACAGTTGTAAATACTAACAGATCGCCTTCTTTACTATGCCGGTTAAACTGAACTCCAAACAGCGGCTGGTTATGATCTTCCTTGAGACTGTTGACACATTTTAAAGAATATTTGCACTTCTTTGATTTCCATTTTCCCTTTCCCCAACTTTTCCTTCCAGGTGCATTCGGTGTATTTGTAGGTGTATCAGGGCGCTCGGAATTTGTTCCACTTTCTATACTCACAGCATCATCATTCTCGTCTCCAGACAGGTCCGGGTTGCTGTTCTCATCGCTGCTCAGCTTCTGCTTCTTGGCCGCAGGCATGTCCGTTCCTGCCCGCGCTGCTGACACTTCCCTCTCAGACATATTCCTCCTCATCATTTTTCTACACTCCTCTTTTTTTTATCAATATCTTCTTCAGATATTCACAGCAATTCTTTCATCATGTTCATCATTTTTTTGAAGACTGACATCTTTTCTCACCTTGATCATTTTTGCTGTTCATGTATTAAATGTAATTCTTTATTTCTGTGGTTTCTATTTGGCACATAATCATAGAGCATATGTATTCAATAAGTTTGTCACTTATGTTCTGGGCCTGGAACTGCATAGAGTACCAGATGTTAAACCAGGGTTTTGTGCTTCAAAAGCAGGCACTTGGACCACATAGCCTTCTCCCTACCTTCCATTTATCTACGAATATTCTTAATTTAGAACCAAAACTAGAAAATCCTTGGAACTTCCACATTTGATGATAGATTTATTTTTATATTTTACCAGTACTAAATATGGTTTTTCATCTACTTATTCCTTTTTTTAATTAAAATATTACTTTTCACCAAATATTTAATATGCGAGCTTTTAGGTACTGAGCTCAATGCAGACATACACAACACAGATATATTTCAGCTTCTTTGAAGTTTGCAGCATACTGTAGGGGAGATTAATATAGATATAGATAGATATACAAATACATATATCATTGTATTTACACACAAGTAAGTACATAGGACATGAAAGTGATTTATCTTAATATTTTTATAATAACCCTAAGATGTCAAATTACCAATAAATAACATTGCTACATATTTCAGTGATTATACTAAGTTGTACCTTTCTATCATAAAATAAAATAGATTATATTAACACACTTTCATTTCCACATTTTACATAAGGTTATAAAAATTGTTATAAGAGAACTTATGTAAATTAATTATATGTATTTGGTATAGGTCATTTTATTTGTGGAAGAAATTATCATTAGATTTGTGTAATACTTTATATTATTTTATTTAGTTTTTTGTACGAGAAAATGTTAGAGTCTTCTTAAATTTAAAGTGAATATGGGGGCAGGTGAAATACATCAGAGGATTAAAGTGCCTGCAAGAAGGTGCAGGAGCTGGGGTTCAATCCCTAGGCCTGCCATGATGGTCCCACCCCCAGGGCACGCTGAGAAAGCAATTGAGACTGGGTGTGGTGGTGCGCGACTGTGATCCCAGCTCTTGGGAGGCTGTAAACAGGTGGATCACTACGAGTCTGGTCTAGTAGTGAGACTCTGAACACCCTGTTGACCCTTTCATAAAACACAAAATAAAATAAAATAAAAATAAAAATAAAAATAAAAATAAAGTTAATTTGAAAACATGAAGGATATATGTGTGGACTTATGAAACCTGTGATTGTTTAGGAAATTTTACAGTGTTTAAAATCAAATATTACCTATAACGAATGCCTTTCTTAACTCTTTTATCGCAGAGAGTACAATATTCGGCCACAATGATCCATCCTGTACGTTTCTGTTATACATTTATGCTTTAGTGTAATAGCAGCTGGCTGTGCAGCTCATTAGCTGTGTGTGGGAAATAGAAAAATCAATCTCTGTCTTTACCCACTTGGTAAGGCAAATGTCATGGTGCACATGTGCAAAAGTGTCTGACCTGGGATTTGACTTGCATAACACCCTAACAGGTTTTTCATATGTTTATCTGAGTATCAATGTGATAACATATGCCCCATTATCATTACAAGAATATGCATATCACCTTATTGGAATGTGGATGTGACTCACTATATCTATTCCTGAAGAAAGTGAAAGCCTATCAGTACTTTTACCCACATGATGAATGAACACCAATGTGTGTACAGGAGATCCAAGGCAGTAAGGGGCAGTTTTGTCCATGAAATGCTCATTGCTAAATTTCCATGAATTTGTGAATTGTTTTCTAAATATTTTTCTTTTGATTTTTTTTAGTAGCAATAGCTCAATTCAGAATAACAGCACATAAAAAGCAAGATTTGTAAGTTTTGGAGGAGGTTAATAGTAAATTGTCAATTTAGTCATATATGTGTGATAGTTGTAATGACTTTGAAGGTGGAAATATGAGCCAAATTTCCTGTGATAATGATGGAGAAAGAATTGATTTATACAGAAACAAGAAATGCAAGCCTCTTCTATTCAGGCAAAGAAAAAGACAGCTATGTGAGTACATATTTGATAAGTCAAAGCAGTTTAAAAAGTTCATGTAACTAAATGGAGTGATGCAGTGTTAGAACCAGGTCTGAAAATATAGTGAGAATCTTGGCAGAGGTGAAATCTACTAAACAGAATGGCAGTATTTTCATCCAATGCTAAAAATTGTTTCTGACAAAAAAATGCTATAAGATGTTGTGAAATACACAAGTAAAGCATTCTGTATCCACCAATAGTCATACTCAAAAATTTCTAGACCCATGCCTATCACAATGCATAAAGCTCAGTCAAAATGGATCATATATTTAAATATCAAAATAGAAACACTAAATATTCTAGACGAAAATGTAGGTAGAAATCTTAAAGCCATAGGGGTTGGTAGGAAGTAAATGAACAAAAATCAAACTACACAGGAACTATCTCAAAGAATCAGCAACTGGGATCTTATCTTTTTGAAAAATTCCTGCACTGCAAAGCAAATCTCTAACAGAGTAAAAAGAAAACCCACAAACTGGGAAAAAATTTTAGCTCACTGTCCTTTTGACAAAGGCCCTGTATCTAGAACATATAAAAAATTAAATAATCAGGCAACCCAAATTCAAAGACCCAATCCAAAAATAGGCATCTGAAGTGAATATGTTGTTCTCAGAGGGAGAAATACACATGGCAAGTAAATACATGAAAAAATGTTCAATGTCATTAGTCATCCTAGAAATGCAAATTTAAACAACACTGAGATTCCATTTCACTCCAAAAAGAATGGCTAACATCAAGATGTCATCCAGTAACAAATGATGCAGAGGCTGTGAACAGAAAGGAAGCCTTCTGCACTGTTGGTGAGAGTGCAAACTGGTACAACCACCATGGAAATCAGTATGGAGATTGCTTCAAAAGCAAGATAGGAGGTTCCATTCAAGCCAGCTATTCTCCTGTGTATTTTTTCAGAACTGCAAACCTTATACCACACCAATATATGTGCACCCTTGTTTTACCCATGTTTATAGCAACACAATTTCTCATAGCTTAATCCTGGAGACAACCCAGATGCCCATCAACTGAAGAATGGATAAAGAAAAAGAGATATTTTTATGCAATGGACATTTTTCATCTATAAAACAGGATAAATCTGAGTCTTTTCTTGGTAAATTAATGCAACTAGAGAACATCCTCTCCTGAGAAATAAGTCAGACCTGCTGTACAAACATCGTATGGTCTTCTTAGTGTGAGAACCTGAAAGAGAAAAATGCAGTCTGAAGGATACTACAGATACTGGTAAAAGCAAATGGACTTACTCAAAAGGAAAAAAGTTACTGAATTGAGAAGAACAGGAGAGGGAGTGAGGGAAAGAGATTTATATATGCGTGTAACCAGGATAGTTTGGACAAATGTACTGTGCATTTCTGCTGGTCTATGGAAAGAAGCAGTTAATGCTTTAGTTTGTTTCATCTCCTTTTTTCAGTTATTTATACTTTTTGTTTTCTTAATTTCTTATACTTTTTTTCATTTTTTCTTCCTTCTTCCAACTCTACATGCATATATCTGGTAATATGAATAACTGGTCAGAAGACAACACTATGTACTATAACAAATACTGTGAAATTCATATTACTTTTTAAGTAAAATTCTGTATTAATTGTAATTCTTTCTGTTTTGATTCTAACTTGTGCTCTCTTTACAAAATGAAATATTTAAAAAATGTATTATTATGACAGAATAGGTCTGGTGTACTTAGCAAGGCTTTTTCCTGGTAATTGCAGAATTACAAATTTCTTTTGTAATGTTTTGGGTGTGGGCTTAAAGTTTGTATATTAACAATGAAAAAGATTTGTTGTCCTTCAAAATTGTCTGAGATTTGATGATAAAACCACCCCAAGGGGTATGGACCTGATAATCTACCTGATATCTAGTCATAGTTTGATAGATGTGTAAGTAACTGTCAATTTAGATAATATCTGAATACATGACTATTGATAATCATCTTGCATCATTTCATACTGAATGTACTTTCAGACAGTATATGTCAAACCTTCAAACTAAAAATTATACCCTTGTAGCTGCAAAGATGTATTATGCTTTCAATTTAGAAACTTATCCTAGAACTCAGCTACTAGGTTCTTATTCATATAGTAAATTAACTGAATGATGTTTGGAACAAACTTTTTGTTCTTATCTCCCAAACTAACCAGAATATAACATTCAACAATTAATTTACCAGTTTCCAACTGAGGTTACGTTTGCTAACAGCACAATTTGACCAGTAGAAGAACTGTATACAGGAACAAAATAGAAATTCCAAATGAAATGTTGCAATTCAAAACAGAAAATTGTATATTGCAATCTTTGAATTTCAGAAATATATAATAATTTGCCTCATGTATGACAAGGAAAAAGAAAGTAATATTGCTGTCGTCAAAATTGCACCATCAGGGAAGTATTGATAATGAGAGCTCAACAAAATGGAAACCTGAGATGGTAATTTTCTACAACAAATGCAAAGCCACACTAAATGTTGTTGAGTTATTCAGCAACTATGATGTCACTCAAAACAAAGTGTTCACTGGTGGCTGTGTTTTACTTGATCCTAAACACATGGCAATGTTTGATGTTTACAGAGAAAATAACATATAAAAGGCCATAAACTTTCTTAAAGGATTGGGATTGGAATTCATAAGTGATCATTTACAGAATAAGAAAGCCTGAATTTTTCTGCCCAACTGCACACACACAAAAAAATGTAGTGCATTCTAGTGAGATGATAGGTGAACATTCAAGTGTAGATGCAGGTTCACGAAGATTTACAACAGAGCTGGGGTATATAGCTCAGAGACACAGAACCTGCCTGGCAAGAATGAGATCATGGGTTTGACTCCCAGTAACAAGAAAAACCTTTGCAAAACAA